GATCGGCCTTTTTAAGGACTGCCAATCAATCATCCCAATGTGATTATCGGCCGATAGTGATCGGTAGCCCATCAATCGGAGCACCCTTAATATTTTCCTAAATAAAATGGTTCTGCCAGAAGAATTGCATGAAAACATATAATCTCTGTTCCGTCTGTATCATCTCAGTGAGCTTTTATGAGGCTGTATGCATGCGCAGTAAAGCAAATTTACTGTTATCTGACTTTTCAGTGTGGATGAGAAACGCTTGAAAACACTAGTGTGGATGGAGAGCGTCTTAAAATGAAAACGCTGTTTCAAATGTATCCAGATAAAGGTAGACATAGCCTTAGTTTAATGAAGACACCGCTTACTAGATCCACACCTCAGCTCTCTTCTCCTCACTTGCACCAGCCGTGACCAAACTGAAGTAGTGACCAAACTTGAATCCAGTTTACTTTAAATAGATTGCTCCAGTAAAAACAACAGCAAGTAGATATATTCTTTTACAAATAAGATTTAATTTTATAGTTGTTAATGTGTCATGTCAATTTCTCCACTTGTGTAATAAATAGGCCTACGTAAAAACTACTAGCTTGCACACTACCGTCTAAAGGGTCAACAGAGTAGGACAGTAGTAGGAAAGAGCTACAGCCGAAATCTACAGCACATCACATCTCACATTGCTGGAAACCAATAAATGTATCAACTTTTAGGTTAGGTTACACTTTATTTTGAGGTGTCCTTGTTATAGTGTAATTATATGTTTAAATGTGCTGTAAGAACGTTTTGACTCTACTAAAGCATAAAAATACCATAATATGTTTGCAGATATTTAAGAAACATGCTAAGTTAACATACTTGTTTATCTGACAAACAATGCTAGAGTCAGTTATTCTCTTTTGAAAATGAGCGTTCCGGGCCGGCATGTCGGTCTCTGTTTTGGTTTGTGAAACCCGCCCACTGCCAGTTTACCCAATTGTATTTCGGGACCCCTGGTTGCCAGTCGGCGGAAAACACAGCGCATTTCATTTCATTCATCGTCAAGTGCTCTTGTTCCTGTTGGTGTCATCAATCTAGCAACCTGCGTGTGCGTCAAGTCTGAGGAGGACCGGGTGAAAAAACCCTCTCCAATATTTTTTAATTTGGACTGCAATACCGAGTTCAACCACTCGGTGTCAATCCTACATACAGCACCTTTAAGTACTAAACTCCACCAAATAATGTTCTTTTTAGCAGCATCATATGACCTCTTTAACTACATGTACTTACTAAATAGTTAGGGTTAGGATTAGGGTTACTTGCCTGTAATTATGCATAACATAGTTATTATAATAGTAAGTACATGTGTAACAAGAACACCTTAAAATAAAGTGTTACCACCAGCCTTTTTTCACAGACTGTAAATGTTTTACTAGATAAGCTGATGTTTAATTTCAAGTTAAAAAAATAACAGACTGACTCTTTTCTGATCTTAACAGTACAGAAGTCATTAGTGAGGAAGCAGGTTCACAAACTTTAACCAGTAGCCTTGACTAGTGCTCAAGAACAACAACAAGCCTATAAACTAACACAAGCGAACCCAAGGTGACAATAATAGGCGCGTTTCCATTACAGATTTGCGCAAAACTTTGGCGATATTTTCTGAATGTCGATAAAAAAGTATTGCGAAATGACGGCGTTTCCATTAACCAATATTATGAGACTTAAACGTAACCTTTTGCCTCTCGCGATAAGTCATGGCAATGGATTTTGGCTATATTTATTCAAAGGAGGCTTATGCGTGTATCTTTACAGAAGCAGCACAGAAAGCCGCTTCAGAAGCGTGTGTGGCGCGGCTGGAATAAACCATAGACTGTATAAAAACATAAACACAAGCTTTGACTAGAGTGCCCGCAATCAGCTTCAGTGGCCGTATCAGAGCCACAGTAAATTGTCTAAGCATTAATGGTAGGGAAAGCCCCTTATACTGGAGCGCGGCCACTTATGAAGTGTTTCTTGGAGGTTATAGTACACTGAAGAATGATCATATTACTTTTTACATACGCCATGTGACCTGTAAATGCGAAAAAAGCCCATTCCATTAGTTTTGCGAATCAATCCTTTTTCGCATTGCTTGAAAAACCACCTGTGAGCGTAAAAACTTTTTTGCGATATATGGCCGTTTTAGCGAAATTGACGCGTTTCCATTAAGCGTATTTTCAGTTCGCAATTTCAATTTGCGCAATTTGAAGGGCAATGGAAACGCGCCTGATCGCTGATATGGAATCATCAGAGCATTCTCCTCTGATCTGAATAAGGCAAGGCAAGTTTATTTATATAGCACATTTACCATACACCATACACAATGGTAATTCAAAGTGCTTTACATAAAAGGAAGTAAAATAATCATAAAGAAAAATAATCACAACAATAAAACAAGGAATTTAACAACTTTTAAAATGATTTAAAATGTATTTAAAATTAATGTAAAACACATACATAAAATACAGTGCAATCAGTTCGGACATCGCACAGTGCTCATTCACTAAATGCACAGCTAAACAGATGAGTTTTGAGTCTAGAGCGAAATTGACGCGTTTCCATTAAGCGTATTTTCAGTTCGCAATTTCAATTTGCGCAATTTGAAGGGCAATGGAAACGCGCCTGATCGCGAAAGGTTGAGATCGCTGCGGTTTGGCTATATTTAGCGCGCGTCGATGATCCTCTTACCTGTCCCTGGCCGCCCCAGGAGCCGTTATACACGCCGTCGTTGTCCTCGCTCAGGCCCAGCTCTGTCAGCCAGCTGTACTGCGGCCGGTTAACGAGCAGCGTCGACATGTTTAGCGCCGCAGCTCCGACACTCGGCGTCTGCTTCACCCTCACAGCGAGCAGCCGCGCCACCCTCTGAGTCAGCACGCGCTGCATGGCCAACTGACGCACGCAGCCGAGCGCCACGCGCATGCCTTCCGCGGTCACGTGCGTATGGCGCCTCTGATTGGTCAGCCAGCGACTCACCCCTTCAGACACGTGTTCTTCTTCTTCGGTTTTATGGCGGATAGCACCAATGTTAAGGTGCATTATCGCCGCCTAGTGTGAACCAGCGTTTACCCTTTCATAAAAAGAGGACAAAAAATATAATAATACAAATAAAAACAATTATTTACTAAATAAAATAAAAAATGTTTACTTCTTTACCTCAAGAAGATTTTCCCACTAAATTCTCTTAATCAGCTCTGTTCTCTGAAGATACAAAAATAACCTTTCTAGTCCATAAGTAAATATATGTTTAAGCTTTAGGTTATCCACTCCCATCTTTCTAAGTTCATCTTCATTCGTTCATTAGTGTACTTGACAAACACAAATAACATGTTCTACTGATTCCTCCATTCCACACTGCTCACATAATCCTGCTGGATGTTTATTTATTATTGTTAAGCTTTTATTCAGCATAGTATGCCCAACTCTTAATCTTGTTAAAATATTTTCCTTTTTGGTGCTTCTTTTAGTTATTCTCACGACTTCTACTTCTCGCTGTATTTCATAAAGTTGACGTCCTGTATTTCCTGTATCCCATTTATGTTGCCACTCCTTAGTGGTATATGCTTTAATTACTGCTTTTGCTTCATATTTACTAAGTGAGATGCTCATGATATCCTCATTTTCCAAAGCCTGTTTTGCTAATCCATCAACCTTTTCATCACCCTTTATCCCCCTATGAGCTGGTATCCACATAAATATTATCATGATGTTCATATTCTTAAATCTATACAGATTTTCATATATCTCATTTACTATATCCTGTCTACTATGAGATGTGAATGATTGCAATGACTTTAATGCCGAACATGAATCTGTACAAAGTATAGCCTTTTTGATGTGAGTCTCCTCTATCCACTGTAGTGCTGTTGCTATTGCCATCATCTCTACTGTGTACACTGATAAATCATCTGATGTTCTCCTATTAACAGAAATGTT